GGGCTAGGGAGCCAGCTGCCCTTGTGGGAAACCGGATCTGCCGCCAAGCCAAGCGGTTTTTAATGGATTCTTGTCACGTTGGGTGCCAAATGTAGATGTAACCAACCGTCTTATTAAATAAGAAACACAGAACCAATGCAAAGAAGAAAGCCAAGAGGTCAGAGCTAAGAGCCTTACTGCCTACTGCAGCTAGCCTCTTCAACCAAGAGACCTCTCCAAAAAAAGAGCTACTTCCTGTGTGTTTGTCTTTATATAGTCTCTCTGTCCTGCCTTCTCATTGGTTGTAAACCCAAACACATGACTGCCTCGTCACTGTCTGTCTGTAGAGACTTCCAGGTCTTCTATGGTATTGAGATTAAAGGCATGTGTCTCCAATGCTGGCTGTATCCTTGAACACACAGAGATCTACCTAGCTCTTCTACCAAGTGCTGGGATTAAAGGCATGCGCCATGAACTCCCAGCTCTACTATGGCTTGCTATTAGCTCTGACCCCCAAGCAACTTTATTTATTAACATACAAATAAAATCACATTCCAGTACAAATAAAATACCACCATACATGGGTAAATCTTAAATTACAAAGTTTAGCTACCAGAGCAAGGTATATTCCTGTGTAAAAGCATTGATGTGTAGCTTTAATGTAGATGTAACCAACCGTCTTATTAAATAAGAAACACAGAACCAATGCAAGGAAGAAAGCCAAGAGGTCAGAGCTAAGAGCTAAAACCTTACCCTTCCTCCTGTGGTGGTCCTACCTCTCCGAACCAGAGCTACTTCCTGTGTGTCTGTCTTTTTATAGTGTTTCTGTTCTGCTTTCTCATTGGTTGTGAACCCAACCACGTGACCGCCTCGTCACGGCCTGTCTGTGTAGACCTCCAGGTTTTCTATGATTGGTATTGAGATTAAAGGCATGTGTATCCAATACTGGCTGTATCCCTGAGCACACAGAGACTTACCTAGCTCTGCCTACCAAGTGCTGGGATTACAAGCGTACGCCACCACTACCCTGCTTTCCTATGGCTTGCTAATAGCTCTGACCCCCGGGCAACTTTATTTATTAACATAGAAGTAACATTTTAATACAAATAAAATATCACCATACCTCAATATTTATCAAATATCTTATTTATTAAACATATGTTTTTATCTATTTAAATTTTTTAGAAACTTGTTGTTGAACACTTGGTAAAGACATAGGTACTTAGGTGTTATAAATATATATATATATATATATATATATATATATTTAAAAAATATATATATTTTAAACAGTAATTACGTGTACATATACATGCAGTTGAATCCAAGTTACATACATACATACATATACATACATATATATATATATATATATATATATATATATATATATATATATACAGTTAAAGCTTGCTTACACTTTTAAGTCATATACCTGTTTAATCATTAGCCATTTTTAAGATGAAAACCAACCAGAATTAACTTTCAAATTCAGTATTTGCAGGTATAAGAAACCATAACAGTTTGTTGACCTTTTATAGTCTTTTATATCAAAGTCTTTTTCGTGATTTTCCTCAGTAATCTAGAAATCTAAATTTGCATCAGTACTGTACCACAGACAAGAAACTGTAGGTTAACCTCATATAGGGAGTGACATTCCATTCTTGGAGCCAGATCCTGATCAGGTTTTAGCCCCAGGGCAGGTCTTGGGAGTCCCACCCAACAGCATGGGAGATTCCATGCCCCGGCTGGGCCCACAGACCTGTCAGCTGTGGCCCTGGAAGGGCAGTTAGTTCTCCACCATCCCCCACATTCTGAGCTCCTCAAGGCTCCAGCTGGCTCCCGCCAGCTTGGCTCTGCTCCATTGCTCACAGGCTGCCTAGCCAGTGTCTCTTCCCTCCCCCCCCTGCCCCATCAAGGCAGGAGCCCAGGCAGTTGTTTGGGGGAAGGGAGGGATCCCGCCAGGGAGAGTGGTCTTGGCCAGGAGAGTTCGACTCCGTTTTGGAAGATTTTTTTTTTTCCTGCACAGGCAGTGGATCTACATGAGGGGGGTGATTCCATCATTAGTCTCCCTGGTTCTCTAGAAGGACCAGGGGTGGGGGTGGGGTTTAAACTTGATTTCCTTAAGAGGGTAAAGGGGGGGAAATGTTCAGATGGCAGCCAGGGCTGAAGGGACAAGGGCAGTGAGGGGGGGTTTGAAAAGGAAGAGGTGGGGGTCAGGGGCCCAGCGTTTCAGGGGCAGGTGAAGCAGTGAGGAAAGGCTTCACCCAGGCACCTGCGAAATGACATCAATCAACGTAAAAAGTCCCCTTCCCCGGCCAGTCGACCTCAAAGACCGACCGTTCCAAGGAACAGAAGGTGATCCATTTCTTTTTCTTGCCATCCAGAGAGGCGTTGTGAGCCCGGGCAAGGACATCCTTCCAGTTATCTAAAGTCAAGCTTAGGGGGGTAGTTAGTTGTTGCCCCATGGAAAGGAAACTAAAGAGCAGTAAAGAGGAGAAACAGACAAAAACACAATCCTCACGGTGGTTGATTTGGCTCCACAGGCCCAAACCGAAAACACAAATTCAAATGGGAGTGGCCACGAACAGCCTCGCTCCCCCAAAGAAGGAGAGACTCTTCTCCTTCTTCAGATCACTTCAGAGGAGACCTGTGGTGGTATTGTGTTCCCCAAAATATTATGTATTCTAATAAATTTATCTGGGGTCAGAGAACAGACAGCCACTAGATACAAAGGCTAGAAAATGGTGGCACTCACACCTTTAATCCTAGCATTCCAGAGATAGAAATCCCTCTGGATCTCTGTGAGTTCAAGGCCACATTGGAAATAGCCAAGCATGGTGACACACGCCTTTAATCCCAGAAAGCCAGCCTTTAATCCCAGGGAGTGGTGGTAGAAAGCAGGAAGATATATAAGGCGTGAGGACCAGAAACTAGAAGTTTTTGGCTGGTTAAGCATGTGGCTGGTTAAGCTTCAGGCTTTCGAGCAGCACAGTTCAGCTGAGATTCATTCTGGATGAGGACACAGAAGCTTCCAGTCTGAGGAAACAGGACAAGCTGAGGAATTGGCAAGGTGAGATAGCTGTGGCTTGTTCTGTCTCTCTGACCTTCCAGCATTTCACCCCAATAACTGGCCTCAGGTTTGATTTTATTAATAAGAACTTTTAAGATTCCTGCTACAGAGACCTCCAGAGTGGGGACCTGGGGACCCTTGAGCATGTCTGCTCTCCCACACAAGTCCCAGACACAAGTCCTGAAAACTTCTGCAGGCACAAAATACAAATGCCAAATCAAGCAGACAAAAGACAAGGACACAATAACATAAAACATAGATCAAGCTCGTTTTTAACCTCCAACTGGCAGAGTGGGGGCCCAGGGGCACCCCAATATCTTGGTGGAACCCCCAATTGTTGGACCCCAAAATCTGGGGGTCTCAAGTGGGTGCCCCAAGAACCCAGACTCCAGTCCAGTTGATGCAACAGCAAGAGGATTTTATTGAAGCTTCTGTACAGAAGGGCAAACTCTGCTCCTAAGTGCAAGAGCCGCATCTTATTGCAGGCACATGGGGGCTTTTAAAAAAAAAAACCAAAAAAGCCATAAGATTACAATTCCCATACAATTTCGTTTCACAAGATCATGGTCCGATCACAGAGTGATCATAGAGGGGGTACAGTTACGTAAACCTCAAGGGGGTATCAGGGCGGGAGTGGAGTTTACAGGAAGGTCACGGTGGTCCTTCCTGGAAGCCCTGCAACTATCCCAGTCACAGTTGAGCGCATCTCTTAACAGAAATCTTTTACATTGTTACATTGTTACAGGGGAGGTTGAGTAATGATTAAGTCAGGTGGCCCTTGGAACTAGCCTTTTCTTTTTAGTTCCTTATTCTCCTGGGGCTTGGGGGGGGGTGTAAGCCTGAAGGGTTAGGGTCTTTCACAGAGAGTAAGGGATTCTCAAGGTTCTCAGTAGCCAAGGGGACCTCAAAACCCTAGAGTGAGTGGTCTGCATCCTACAAAGTGAACACTGGGACTTCCTTAACAAAGGGAGCCTGAAGGTACATTTTCCTCCAGTGAACACATGTCCCTTCAACTGTGAATTCCCTAGCACCATCCATTCATGTTCAAACCCACTCCTCACACTTGCTGACCCTTCTTACTCCTCCTGACAGCAGTACACACTCCTGGTGTTGACAAGGGCTTCTAGAACACAGCAGGATCCAGACCAGTCCCTGGATTTCCAGATAAAGTCTGTGAGAATAGGAATCTGGGTGTGATTCCCTCACCTGGACCCACAGGGCTGAAGAGAAATCCTCAGAGACACCTCCATGTCCTGTGAAGCTTCCCCCAGTCCATCCATCCCTCCACTGAGATTCCTGCACAGACCAACTGACACTGCCCAGTGGTTCTCATCAGTGTCCTGGGTAGGGGGCTCCTTGTCCCATTCCAGGGCTGAACTTGTGAGTCTCTCAACACTCCAGCTGTCTGATCTCTGGGCTGCAGTGCTGAGGCAGAATCTGAGCTGAACTGGGATCAAGACTCCAGAGGAGTGTAGCTCAGCCAGGTGAGAAGCACTTCTCCAGTGAAGGCCAGGCATCCCCACCCACCCCACTCTTTCTTCTGCATGCAGGGAGGGGAGGGATGGAGTCTAGAATCAGTGATGCAAAGGGTGGAGAACAGGCCCACTGTGGAAGCCTTTTCCAGTCCTGCCCACATGCAGCCCTTGTTCATAACTTAACTCAGGAATGAAGGAATATCATGTTCTAATGGCTGAGGATCTAGGGTTGAGACATGAGTTTGGAGTTTCTATAGTGTACTCCTCATGCAGGGAATGAGTAAGACATGAATTTAGGGGCATATATAGTGTAGTCCTCAGCAAATACAATGAGTGAGACAGCCTCTGGTGGCATCTGAATGGTCCCTCACAGGTCCCCCTGTGTTTCACGAATCCTAAATGGTCTTACAATTAAAACCCAGAGCCAGACATGGGGTAAATGCTGTATGATCAGAGGAAACAAGCCACAGCCACTTCTCACCTCGCCAACGCCTCAGCTGACAAGCGATGATCCTGTCTCCACGAATCCTCAGACTGAATACCTCTGAGTCCTCAGCCAAAAGGGCCTAGTTCCTGTCTCCTCACCCCTTATATGCCCTTGTCTGCCCAGCCATTTCACTTCCTATCTCAACCTCCCTAGTGCTGGGATTAATGGCCTGTGAGCTTCCCGCATATCAGAGGAGGAAACAGGAAGTGATATGGCTGGGCAGAGAGAGGAAGCGATAAGGCAGGGTGGAGACAGGAGCTCGGCCCCTTTTCAGTTTGAGGATTCCAAGAGGTAAGCAGACTTTCTAGTGGCTGGCTGCTCTGCCTCTCTGATCTTTCAGCATTCACCCTGATATCTGGCTCTGAATTTTTATTTTAAGACCAATTAGAATTCATGCTACACCTGGGTATGATATCTTCTGGAAGTTTCTTGGCCACAACAGTGGCTGTCTTATTCTTGGTTGGGTAAGCTGCAGTCCATCATGAAAAGGTATCTATAAAGATCAACAGGTAACTGTAGCCACAGAGCCCAGGCTTGACCTCGGTGAAGTCAGTTTCCCAATTGGCTCCAGACCACGCTCCTCTTTTTCTGCTCCCACTGATGCCCCTGTGCCTGATTTGGCATTCACCGGGCCACACGTAGGGCAGTGGGCTACGGCTTCCTTCGTTTTTGGTCTCAGGTCAAACAACTTGAGGTGTGCTCTTCTCAGTCGGTCTTGTGTTTTCCTCTCCCCCAAATGGGTGCTTTGATGTATCTGCCAGACTAATTGGCTGGCAAAGTCCGAAGGGAGGATAATCTGCCCATGAGGAGGAGTCCTATACCATCCATCCTCTCTGTAGGTATTGGTGCGAGTTCAAATCCTCCAAAGTTCCTTCTTGGTATAGGTGGGATTTTCTGGCAAGGTTGGGGCTGCTAATTTAGCCAGGTTGACAACCAGGGTGGCTGGCCCCTGGAGGGCTGCTTCTTCAGCAGCTGCAGCTGCCTTCCGTGTTTCCCGTAGAAACAGGGTCCTCTCCTTTTTGATGTCAATCATCGACAGCCCCTTTTCGGGGCAGCCACACGGCTTGCAGGAGATTCAGGATCTCCCGCTTGTTCTCAAGAGTTCTTCCTTCTGCCACCAGGCGGCGCCTTTCCTTGTCGATGGCACCATGGACAAAGGCAGGTCGGCTGTTTGGATGTATGTTGAGTCTCTTTCCTGGCCCCATCTGTCAGGTTTTGATTAGAGCTACTAGTTTAACCCGTTGGGCCGAGGTACCTGAGGCAGGGCTTCTGCCCAGACTATCTCCTCTTCCGTGGTCACTGCCGCCCCTGCAACCCTGGTGCCATCCTTAATAAAGCTACTGCCATCCGTGTACAAGGTGAGTCCTTTAAAAGTGAGTCGCCGAGGTCCGGCCTTGTTCCCTGTAGGCGGCTCAGGATTTCCTGGCAGTCATATACAGGCCCAGCCAGGTCTGGGTCTGGGAGCAGGTCGGCTGGGTTGAGAGCTCCAGTGAAGGTAAATTGGACTCGAGGGATACTTAAGAGCAAAGCTTGGTAGCGAGTCAGCCTGGCATTGGTCAGCCACCTATCGGGTGGCTGTTTGAGGACCCCTTCTATAGCATGTGGTGTGATCACCATGAGGGCCAGTGTGTCCGAGTCCTTGGCCAGCAAGGCTGGGGCCGCTCTCACGCAGAGGCATGGGGGCCATCCCATTGCCACCAGATCTAGCTTCTTTGACGAATAAGCCACTGGCCTCTTCCAGGGTCCAAGAGTCTGAGTTATGACTTCTTTGGCTACACCTTTCTTTTCATCGATGTGAACCGGCGTTGTGAACATCCAACAATGCCAGTGCCGGAGCCTCTAGCAAGGCTATTTTGATTTTGTCAAAGGCCCCCTCCAATTTGCTCAGTCAATTCTAGGCGAGTCCTCTCCCTGGGTTGCTTTCTTTAGTGGTCTAGCCAATTCAGCAAAACCAGGTATCCATAACCTACAGAACCCAGCTGATTCCAGGAGATCTCTCACCTCCTGACAGTTGGTGGGCCAGGGGATTTTTAGAATGGTCTCTTTTATTTACCTTTGACAACCATCTTATACCCCCTTGAGTATGTAGACCAGGTAAGTTACCTCAGTCTGGCAGAGGTGAGCTTTCCTCACAGGTCCATGGTACCCCAGAGTCCCCAGAGTTTTAAGCAATCCCTCGGTAGCAGTCTCACAGGCCTCAAGAGAGTCTGTGGCAATCAGCAAGTCACCACATACTGGAACAGACTGATATTTGGGTGGGCCTGTCTGTACTCACCCAAATCCTCAGAGAGGGCTTCATCAGAGTGGGGGAAATCCTCGAATCCTTGGGTTAGCTTTGTCCAGGTCAGTTGTCCACTGAACCTGTCGTCCAGATCCAACCATTAGAAAGCAAACAGGTGGTGACCGGCTGGTGCCAAGGGCGAGCTGAAGAAGGTGTCCTTGAGTTCTAGCACTGTATAGATGACCCACTCAGGTGGCAGGGTGCTAAGAAGTGTATATGGGTCGGGGACAGTGGGATAAATGTCCTCTACCTGCTTGTTTACTTCTCTGAGGTGCTGTACAGGCCTTTAGTCAGGGGAGTTGGGCTTTTTGACCGGCAGCAGGGGTGTATTCCAGGTGGACTGGAAAGACACAAAGATGCCTAGGTCTGAAGAGTTAATCTAATGAATCATATCAATAAAAACCAGGAGTCAGACATTAGGGTAAAAACCTGAAAGATCAGAGAAGCAAAAGAGCAGCCACCAGTGACTTACCCCCTCTTCTATGGCTCCAGCCAGAAGGGCTGAGATCCTGTCTCCACCCCACCTTATCAATTCCTGTTTCCTCTCTGTACAGACCTCCAGATCTCTATGGTTAACTAGTGGCTAGCTCCACCCTCTGATGTCAAGCAAGATTTATTTGTCAGGACAGAAACAAAGTATCACATAACATTTCCCCCTTTTGTCTAGATAAAATAACATAGAAAAACTATATACAGTAAGTACAGTAACTGTATACAAACATATACAGGCAAGAGTTACATTAACAATGTCTAGTTCATTAGCATTTGACAAATTCAGAGAAAATACTCCATTATCCACCCTATCATGATGAGCCCAAAGTGTTGTTCCTAACTCACTTTCTATCCTAACCTGCATTTCAACCCAAAACTATCTTTTATGTCTCTCAACCTTATACACGTTATATCTCTTTTGTGTCCTCTCTGAATTTGTTAAAAAGGAAAACTATAACTATCTAGTCTTCAACTCCATCAGAGACCTGAGATGGATATACTATTATCTGAGTAAACTGGAATAACAGAGCAAACAGCTTCCAAAACCAAGAAATGACAGAAACAGCTGGCTGCCTGGACAGTCACCCAAGGTTCCTCTGCAATGTTGGGGCATCCATCTTTGACCCACAGGCCTAGAATATCTGACAGACTTCTGTGAAGCAGGATTTTTGAAGGACTGTCCCACTTTGTCTTGACAAAGTTCAGCAGTCACTTTGTGTCCTGCTTCTCCAATTTGGACAGCATATTGTCAGCAGTTGAGACAAGGACAGTTTCTTGCCCAGTGGCTAACTTTTGCCACAAAGAAAATAAACTCCATATGGAGTTTCTGTGATGCCCATCATCTTCTCTGAAGTAGATTGGTGCTGCCAGAAGCAGACATGTCTCACTGTAATAAAAAAAACAATAATAACAAAAATCTTACATTATTAAAACATCTTAAATGCCATATTCTGTGGGTCTCTGAAGTGTTTGAAGATGACCTGTCTATCTAAAGTCTATCTGTTTGACCTTGAAAACATAGTTAATATAACTACAAGTTTGATTTTAATAGGTGACTAACTACTAACCTGCATTTCTTTATCATCCTAAATAGTTTGTAATAACTTTCAAGGACTAGAAATTTGCCTTACAGTGCTAGATGAGCTGTATAGATACATTACCCTGAACAAGATTAGAAACAAATGTACAGTATATTCTAACAAAAATAACCGCAAATTTGTTATCAATATACAATAATTGAATATCAATGTAAAATATTTAAAACTAGTAGTTACTGTTTGGGTTTAAAAGTTGATTCAATAATTTACCTTTTTGTCCTGTCTTTTCTCTGTTATATATATAGTACAACAAAAATAACCTCAAATTTGTATCAATATGCAAAAACCTAAGCCAGTGTAAAATATTTAAAACTAGTAGTTGTTTTTTTTTGGCCTAAAAGTAGATTCAATAATCTATGCTTTTATCCTATGTCTATATTCCCCCCTTTTCCTTTTTAGAATGAGATCCCTGGATCTAATCTCCGTTTTTCAGCTTTTTCCTAACCATTACCAATAACAACTTTTAACCAACCTCCCTAAGCAATGACAAACACCCATAATCTACTGAAGGACCAAAAACCATCCACCCTTCCTCTTGGGAATAAGGGCATTGTGTTCTTTAAATTATTTCCTGCTGTCTGGGGATGACAGCATCTTTAGGAGACCCTGAAAAAAATTGGGATAATTATCAAGTCCTGGAAGCTAGCTGTATCATTTGTTGTCTAGTCTCTGTGTAATGGAAAAGTGCAGGGCTTGTCTCAAGTTCTGGCTACAGTACTCTGTGAGGCTAGATCATCTCTGCCAGCCACCTTGAAATTGTCCAGAACAGTTTGTAGTCCAAAGCTGATCTTTAGATGCTTTGTCAGCTTAGTGGCCTTACCATAGTCCAGGTAAAATCACCATTGTGGAGCCCTGTTATCTTTTTTGAGACTTCATAGATTGTCTTTTTCTTGGGTCATTTTCTCTGGATAATTTGTCCATTTTCTTCAGATGTCTTATTTGTCCACTGGTCTTCAAAGTCCTTAGATGGATGCGTTCATTCTCCTGAAAAGACAAAACCAAAACCCTGCCCCAACTCTAACCTTGGGGAGTTTCTCTTTTGGTAAGTTAAATTTGATCAAATGAGAAGCAGTAGTTAGTTTTATAAATTAATTTAGATTGAGTGGCCACACTGATTGTTAAAGTATCACCTCTTCTAATCAAGAGGTCTCTGTTGTTCAAATCTAATCTTTACCAATTTTGATGGTATCCATAGCTTTTCTTCTCCTATGGAAACAAAAGCAAAACCTCTTCCCCACATAACACATATCCTGGTTTCCATTCTGAGGTCAACATATCTTTAAAATATACAGGCTGATTTATTTCAGCAGTTTTTTTTTTTAAGTATCCAATGTCTCTCTGCAGCTGTCCTTCCTTTCTCATTAGCATTTATAAAATTTAATAAAGCATTGTGCAATCTGTCTCTGAGGGCCTTTATTGCCCCTTTCTGTTTACTAAGCATGTCTTTTAGAGTTCTATTAAATCTTTCTATAACTGCTTGTCCTGTAGGATGGTGTGGTATACTTGTGATATGCTTTATATTGTAACAAGCAGAAAAAAAGTGTTTCATTTTGCTAGACACATATGGTGGAGCGGTGTCAGTCTTAATCTGTGCAGGTATCCCAGTGATGGCCATGACTTCTCCTAGATGAGTGATTACAGACTCAGCCTTTTCAGAACTCAAAGCAGTTGCCCATTGAAATCCTGAATATGTATCTATGGTATGGTGTACATATTTTAATTTTCCAAACTCTGCAAAATGAAACGTGTCTGTTTGCCAAATGTCATTTCTGCACCTTCACCAGTGGCCTCTCCTGGTCTCTTATAGTGCCCAGCCTCAGCGGCCCTCCATGACCTCTTCAATCCCACAGCTCTCATGCCATCAATACTAGTACCAGGAGGGAGATTCTCAAACACTACTGAGTTCATCTGTGAACCTGAGATGCAGACTTGGTCCCTTCTGCACCATGGATAGTCTTTGTGTTCTGAACCTGAGGAAGTACTTCCCAGATTTTGTCTAAGTGTGCTGGACTTTATTGATCACAATGGATTCTTCAGCCCCAGATGACCAGCAAAGTTTTCACTGAACTTCACAACCCAGGCCTTCCACTATCTGCATTGTTTTCCATATTCTTTTTTAATTGTCAAAATGTATTCTTCTCTAAAATATTACGTACCCTCCCTCATTCTCCCCCACTCCCTCTTTGCACCTACACCCCCATCTACTCCTCTTCAAAAAAGTGGG